TTGATAGTGGCTTTCTTCTTATTCATAATAGTTGATTTCTTCTTCTAATTCTGTTTTTGCTTCATACACTATTGTTAGATACGTAAAATAAGATTGTTATGTTTTTCTGGAGAGTTGACATCTTATTGTGCAGTGACCCTTGTTGTCTGTGACAGCTTCCCTTGCTCTAAAAGTCAGCTTTGTCTGAAAAACCATATACATAGTTGCTTCTGGGGTTTTTGGTTGGTTGTTTGTTTGGGGTTTTTTTTTTGAGGGGGGAGGATGGTGATGGAATCCAGGGCACTGCACACTGACATCTCCAGTCCTTTTTCTAATTTTTAATTTTGAGACAGGGTCACTCTAAAGTTGCCCAGGCTTGGTTTGAACTTGTGATGCTCTTGCTTTAACCTCCCAGAGTGCTGCGATTACTGGCATGCACCACCAGGCCAGGATGCTACTCCCACTTCTTTGTTTCTGTATTTTTCAGTAGTGTTAGCATGGTACAGGTACTTCTTGGTTCACATGAAGTTACACTCAGGTAAACGCACTCTAAGTTGAAAATAAGTAAAAAAATGTGTTAATGCTCCTGACTTACACGCAGTATAGCTTAGCCACACAGTTCACTGTAGTATCCGTTGTTTATCCTTGTGATTATGTGGCTGACTGTGATTGTGTAACTGGAAGCTGCTGCGTACTCCCGCTGCCCAACTGCATGAAAGAGTATTGTACTACATATTGCTAGCCCAGAAAAAGATCAAAATTTGAAACACTATTTCTACTGAATGTGATCAAACATTGAAAAATTTTAAGTTGAACTGTTTTTAAGTTGGAATCATCTATGTATCTTTGTCTATCCCTTTACTTTTTTTTGGTACCAGGGATCGAACTCAGGTCCTTACGCTTGTGAGGCAGGTGGCAGAACCACTGAGCTCAATCCCCGGTCCTATCCCTTTACTTTTAGTCTATATGTATTCTTATGTCTAAAGTAAATTTTTTGTAGACAATATATAATTGAGAGTTATTCTTTTTATCTACTTTGACAGTGTCTTTTAATTGCTGTAGTAGTATTTAGACATTGATATTTACAGTGATTATTAGTATAGTCAAATTAATGTTTACCATATTTGTTACTGTTTTCTTTTTGCTTTGCATTTTCCTGGTTTTTCTTCCTCTTCTTTTGCCCTTTGTGGTTTTAATTGAGCATTCTATCTTCTTAGCATATAGTTATACTTTTAAAAATAATACATTTCAGTGGTTTCTATAGTTTGGAATATTTACATCCAATCCAAGTCTACTTTCAAATAACACTTTATAGGTAGTAAAGATACCTTGTAATAAATATATCTTTTCTTCCATTCCTTGTATCATTGCTATTGTTCATGTCATTTATACACAATCTAAAGAATATGTAAGCATACATAATGAATACATAATTGACTTTATCCTTTAGATCAATTAAGAATAAGTTGTTTTCCCTTCAGATAGTCCTTTTAATTTTCTTCCTTTATGTATATCCAAGTTTCTAACCTGCACCATTTTCCACCTCTGTTTTATTTTTTTTAACTTTTTTGCTTTTTTCATTAGTACATGCTCATGATACACAATGAATATATTTGTGGGAAGTTGGTACATAAATGTAGTGCATCTTAGTCCTTTTTATTTCCCCTTCCCTCCTTTTCCTTCATCTGTCAATCCTCTTGTCATCTGCAGAAGGTCTACCTCCCTGTTTTCTATTGTCTTTCTTTTATTTTGCTCTTCTCATGTAAGAGAAACCATTTAGTTTTCTGGGTCTGATTTGTTTCGTTTAGCATTATGGTCTCAAGATCCATCCATTCTCCTATAAATAATTCAAATTTATCCTTTATAGCTGAGTAGTACACCACTGTGTTTAAATGCCACATTTTCTTTATTCATTTATCTGTTGATGGATGTGTAGGCTGTTTCCAATATTTAGCTATTGTGAGTTGTGCTGGTATAAACATGGGTATGAAAATATCACTGCAATACAATGTCTTTAACTCTTTTGGGAAGATACCCAGGAGAAGTATAGCAGGGTCACATGAAATTTCTGTTTTTAGTTTGTTGAGAAATCTCCAGTCTGATTTCCAAAGTGGTTGAACTATTAATTTTTTAAGTGATTATAAATGGGCTTGATATCCTGATTTCTTTCTCAGTGGGCTCATTGTTGGTGTACAGGAACGCTATTGATTTTTGTGTATTTATTTTGTATCCTGCTACTTTGTTGAGTTTATTAGTTCTAGGAATCTTTTAGTAGACTTTTAAAAATCTTTTATGTAGGAGATCAGGGCATGTGCAGATAATGATAGTTTGACTTCTGTGTGAAGTCCTTTTAAATTTATTTTGCAAGACAGGTGTTGATAACATGGCCTCACTTTTTGAGAACGGATTTCTTTGTCACTTATTTATTTGTGTGTATAATGCTGGCAACTGAACTCAGGGCCTTGCACAGTCTAGGCAAACACTCTACCACTGAGTTACACCCTCAGCCTCTCTTTCACTTTTGAATGATACTTTTGAAGGGTGTGGGAGTCTAAGTTGGCAGTTATTTTCTTCAAATTTGCAGATATTTCATCTCACCCTCTTCCTTGCATGGATTCTAAGAAGTCACATGTATTTTTACCTTTGTTCTGTTGATAAGATATTTTTTTCTTCTGGCTTCTTCAAAATTTTTTCTTTACCTTTGATTTTCTGTAGTTTGAATATGATATGCCTGCCTATGTGTAGCTTTCTTGGCACTCATTCTGCTTGGTGTTCCTAGCCTCTAGAATCTGTGCTCGGTGTCTGATATTAATTTTGGGGAAATCTCAGGCATTAATATACTTCAAATGTTCCTTCTGCTTCTTCCTCTTGTTTTTTTCTTCTGATGTTCCCATTAGACAGGTCATACCTTTTGTACTTGTTCTATAATTCTTGGATAGTCTCTGTCTCTCTCTCTCTCCTTCCTCCCCTCTTCTTTTTTTCCTTTACTTTTCAGTTTAGAAGTTTCTGTTGACATACCTTCAGGCTCAGAGATTTTTTCCCATGGCCTATCTGATCATCTAGTCTGCTAATGAATCCCTCAAAGGCATTTTTTAATTCATTTACATAATTTTTTATCTCTAGCATTCCTTTTCTATTATTTTTTGTAGAGGTACTGGGGATTGAACCCAGGGCTTCACACACGCTAGGCAAGTGCTCTAGCACTGAACTACACTGCAGACTTAAAAAAATGTTTTTTGAGACAGGTCTTGTTAAGTTACTCAGGCTGCCCTTGAACTTGGGATCTTCCTGCCTTAGCCACCTGACTAGTTGAGGTTAGAGATGTATGCCACCATATCTGGCTCATTCTTGATTCTTTCTTAGATTTTTTATCGCTTTGCTTGCATTATTGTTGTTTTACATTGCTTACTTTTTTTCCACCTCATAATGGGGATTGAACCCAGGGCCTTTGCTCTGGGCTACATCCCTAACCCTTTGTTTTTATTTTTTACTTGAGACAGAGCCTCACTAAATAGCTCAGGTTGGACTCGAACTTGGAATCCTGCTGCCTCAGCATCTCAGAGTGCTGGGATCACAGATCTGTGCTACTACACCTAGCTACATTATCTACTTTCCCCATCACAGCCTTAGTATATTACTAATAGTTTTAGAAATTCTGGGTCTGATAATTACAACATCCCTGCATATATCAGTGTGTTTCTAATGCTTGTTGTCTTTTCAAACTGTTTTTACCTTTCAGTGTGATTTGTTTTTCGTCTTATTTGCTAAGAACCAAGCATGATGTACTGGTGAATAGGTGCTCCATTCCCTCAGTGGCTCTAACTCACCCTCATACCTGATAACGTACAGTAAGTCCTGGCTTTTGGTGAATGAGCTGAGTCTCTGGACTGTGAGCTTCATGCCTGCTTCTCAGTCTTCCCCCATTCAGGTGAGACAGGAGAGGGAGCTGGAGCTGGGTATTTCTCTCTTTGCTCAGGTAGCAGACGAGAGCAGGTGGGAGCTGGGAATACCCCTTACCTCAGGTAGGTTAATGTCTCTCGCTGTGGTTAGACATTAGTGAAATAGTTTCTCTTAAGGGCAGGCCTTATTAAGAAGAGCAGAGTGCTCTGGTGTATTTCCAAATGGTTTCTTTTCTCCTTCTCCTGACAGAAGGTAGCAGAAGGGAATTTCTCTCCTGTATTTACTGTGAGAATCTCGTATTGGTTCTGGGTAAAACTCACAGAGCTGTGGGTTCCCCCTGTGATTTGGTCCCCCTGGAGTTTTAACGCTCACACTTGTCCTCACTGAGCCACCAGCAACTTCTCAATCCAATTTAGGTTCTGCAGCCAGGCTGTGGCTGCTGTGGAGATTGCTGACCGTGTAAGTTGTGATTCTCTGCGTCTGCTTGTCTGTCTCTAGTTCTTGGGTTGGGGTTTGCTCTGTAAGCTCCCTTCCCTGAAGGATCTAAGAGAAGTGTATGCTTTTTCACCATGTTCAGCTTTTTACTTGTTTGGATAGAGTGATGACTTGTAAGCTTTGATCATTCCTGATTGGAAACCAGAAGGACTTCCTTTGTTGTTGTGCCTAGGTCTCCGCTATGCCTGCGGCCTATTAGTCCAGAAAAGCTTTATTTGACCTCCAGAAAACAAACCTTTACACTCCACTGTCCTTCTCTGTGCAAGGATAGCTGCTAGTGCACTCTAGTGAGGAAGGCAGGACCTGCAGTGGTGCAGGACTGACCTGCATTTCAGAGTACTGTCACTATTCCTCCCTAATGTAAGTCCTCTTCCTTCACTTTCACTTCCGTTCTTTCTGCTCCCACTTTGAGCCTTCTGAGAATTAAGTGGTATAAAGCAGCCTTGTTCTTAAGCTTTTTTTTTTCTTAGTGCAGTTACATGATTCTTTTTTCTTGGATCGTCTATGTAGGTTACCATATATATTTATATTGGTATAAAACTTTTAAGATACAGTGGCTGTTAATCACTTTCGATGTTTACCTTGTCCTTGTATGTTTATCTTAAAAAAAAACTCTTGTGATTCAGGGAGGAAGCTGAACTAGATGATTGGGTACAGTATGCCATCGTCCTGAAGCTGAACTAGATGATTGGGTACAGTATGCCATCGTCCTGAAGCTGAACTAGATGATTGGGTACAGTATGCCATCGTTCTGTTGATTTTTTTAATATGCCAAGTTTTTATTTAAGGAAAAATTTTCAAAGCTTGATTTTTCTTTCCTTCTATCCTCTCTTCTCATTGTCAATCAAATAAGCAATTCTAGCTAAATAATTAATTGCCTGATGGAGAGCTCTGCCTAGCCTATGTCACTTCATTGGCAAATAAGGACATTTTCATATTGAAAAGATTAATTTATTATTAATAATAATTTAATTTTTAATAATATATTAATCTTTCTGTTTGTGGATAGAGTAGACCTGTATATAACCTTTTTAAAAAAATCAATTAAAAATCAACTGAAGTGTGAATGGGGGAAAATTGTGACTGGTAGTAGTGTGCTCTTCTCCCTTTAAAGATGGATATGAAAGTCTTATCAACTGGAGTGCTGGCAACTATTTGGGTTTTTATTAAAGCTTGATCAAACTACACCTTGGTGATTTTAATGTGGCTACATATACTGTGACGATCTGAAAGATAATATTTCTACAATTCCTCTTGCAATCTACAGAGAAAGCAACCAGCGAGATGAACACTGCTGAGGACTGGGGCCTCATCCTGGATATTTGCGATAAGGTCGGCCAATCCCGCACTGGGTAAGTGTTCTAAGTTTCAAAGGATAGAGGAAAGAATTAGGAGGTAAAACATATTACAGTCACAATTTAGTTTGAAAGGGGAGTATTTTTACAAGAACATTTTGAGAGTCATCCATTTGTTACCCCTTGTAATCAGCTTGATATGATGGGTAAAGAGTTGGTACTTTATTAACCACTTTCTTTTATTGTTTTCCTTCTCTGAAATCTATCTTTCCCCACAAGATTGTAGTCATTATTGTTTCCTCACTTACCAAGTTTTGTGGCTATGTCTTGGGTTTCTCTTTGTCATGTCTGCAGTGTTCCACCCAAATTGATTATTGACTTTTGGGGGGGGGTGCTAAAATTTAAATTTATTCTGTATTTCTGCATTGTAAAATGGCATCCTTTTATATCACTTTACTCTTCACTTATAAACCTTGCTCAAGATTTACTTTTTAAAAATTTTTTCCTTGGCTATAATTGCTTAACATTTTTATTAAAACAGAAAAGAATACTCAGAATCAGCAAATTACCTTGTTCATAGTAGGTGCTCAGTAAATTTTTTTTTTTCTTAAATTCTTTAATGGTACATTTTAGGTATACAGTACATTTAGATTTATCTTTGGGTGGTTGTACCTGTACATGATGTATCTTGGTTCTTATTTTTTCCCCATTAGATTATTGACTATTGAAAGGCACAAATTAGGGGAATATAATCTTAAACTTGGGGCATTATTTACAGGGCTTTCCAGATAGTACAGAAGTGAATTAACAGGTGCATGTGATTTCCTGCTCTCCTGGTGTAGTAATGTTCAGCCATTAGCGGTCTTATTTACCCTATTGTGCCACAAATAGTATTGTCCCATTTGTGTACTTTCATGTGAACAAGAGGAGAAGCACTGTTGTGTTGCACTTGATTCTTCTTAGTGGTAATCTAACCCTCTCACATACCTTCTTTGGCTGTTCCTTTCCTTTCAGATCTCTGTGTTCCTCAAACTTTCCTTAGTTCATTTTTTTTGTAATACTTTTTCTTTTGATATCTTAAAACTCTCAGGTGTCCTTATGTGGGAGAAATCTGATTTTCAGTTCTGACTCTTCTTACCCAAGTACGAGTGCTGTGAACACAACATCATTTTTAGATTTCATAATATATAATCCTTAATCTCACCATATAGAAAGCTGAACTCCTATGCCTTTTTGCTTTAAACCTGCTTTTCCTTCCTTGTTCCCTGTTGTTGTTAATGACAAGAGGATTCTTTCATTGTACATAAAGCCTCAGAGTCACCTCCATATTTATTTTGTTACTAAATTCTTTCATTCTTCACAATCCTTGTCAAAACGTTGATTACAGTCTCCTTCATTCTTCAGCCTGTGCCAGCAGGTGAGGGCAGCTTGTCTTCAGGGCCTGTGTACCCCTTCACTCGAGCTTTCATGATCCCTAGTGTGCTTCCCTACATGGTTCCCAAAGGCCCCAGTATTCCCTTTGTTATCTTCACATTTTAGTATATTAAGTCTCATCCTTTCTGGCCCAGTTAATTAATTTAATTAGTATTTGAATAACTACTGTGTTATTCAAATAACTACTACATAGCCATTCCTCTTTCTCCATTTTCATTTGGCCTGCTTTACTTGAGACATTTTTTTACCTTGCCTGGAGTGGTAGATTAACATTCAGGCATTTCTTTTCTATTTTCATCTCTTTTATGTCTAATTCTTGTATTCACTTGCCATGTAACAGCTGTGTTCACATTACTCCCCTATCTTCCATGATGAGTTCAGTCTCAATTTCTTAGCCCTTTGGGTTATTTTCCATTTACTTCTCCCTATTTTCCATTCATTTCAACTCAGTTACTTGAGTTGCTTCTCTGTCTTTGTTTACCCCTGCCCCCAACACCCCACCCTACAAGTACTGGGAAATGAACCCAGGGCCTTCACATTGAGCTCTATCACCAGTCGTTTTTTAATTTTGAGACAGGGTCTCACTAAGTCTCTTAAGTTGTGTAGGCTGGGCTTGAACTTGTAGTTCGCTTGTCTCAGTCTCCCAGCGTGCTAGGATTACAGGCATGGGCCACTATGCATGGCACTTTTGTTTCTTTAATTCCTTCTATGTGGATATTTTCTTCTCTCATTTCTTATCGCTGCGACTTAAATTTTTTCGGAACCAATTTAGGTATCATTTCTCTTAAGCTGCTGCTTACCCCCTTTACTGACATTAATATGAAGTTTCTCTGAAGCCTCGAAGCACTATCAAAGGCATTCTTAGGGCCCGGGATGTAGCTCAGTGGTAGAGTGTATGCTTAGCATATATAAGGCATTGGGTTCAATCCCCTGCACACACACAGGTTTCCTGTTTGTGCATTGTCCTGTATTTTAGTAATCTATATGTAGTAAACTTAGATATGTAGAGTGAACAGTTCACCAAATTCTGTGATGTAGAGGAAAGAAGCAAATAACTCAGAGCTTTAGACCCATGGACTCTGAAATGAAACTAGGTTTAAATTCTGGCTCTGCCCACCAAGCCATGTCACACTGGGTAAGTAAGTGGCCTTTCTGGGCCTTACTGTTCTAGTTTACCACATAAAATAGTGTCTTTTTCAAAGGAGGATTGCTATGACTGTGAGATTAATTAATAGGTAGGGTGCTTAGAGTGGTACTTGGCATATGCAACTCTGGCCCTTTAAAAAAAAATTTTATTATTATTATTATGTTTTGTACTGAGGGTCGAACTCAGGACCTTGCGCTTATGAGGCAGGCATAGTGCCACTGAGCTAAATCCCCAGCCCTGGCCACTTTTGATTTTTCTGTATAGTTTTCAGATAAAACTTTATCAAGTATTCTAGTTGCAAAGTCTTCCTCTCACTCTGTTAGTTTTCATTTTATCTTTACTTTGGCGTTCCTTGTTTTATAGACACTTTTTATAATAACTTGATGAGTTGCTTGAAATCAAAAGACAAATCCCTTTCATTACTAGAAATATTCCACAGTTTTCTAGTTTAAAAATAAATCTGTAATGCATCTGAAATTCTGTGTCGTTTATAGTAAAGGTGTGGAGGTCAGTTCGTTTTTTTGCATGTTAACGTTAGTATACCAGAGCTGTTCATTACATACTCATTTTCTTATTTTGTGTTTCCTCACATTTGAAATTAACTGATTTATAGCTTTAAAAAAGTATTTTTTGTTTGTCTGTGTTTTGTTTTTATCCCATATCAGTAGATTTAGACACATTCATTTTTTAAACTTTTTTCAAATTTATTTTTAGTTCAAATGCTTTTTCTCAGGGTATTTTTTAACATTTGACTTCCCATTTGGGGATTTTACTTAAGAGTGTACTACATCTTGTAATTTACTTAGGAAATATTTTCAAATTTAGTAATCTAAGCAATGATAATGAGTGGTTCTCTGTGTACTTTTGAGGAATATTTTCTCTCTACTCCTTTTTTCCTTCCTTCCCCTTCCTTCTCTTCCTTTTTCCTTCCACTTCCTGTTTTCTTCCTTTGTTAATGGTTCTTACTTCTTTTAATTCCCCACTGATTTCCAGGTATTTATTTGTTTATGTAAATGGGTATCACTTTATAGCTCTTATTAGTAAGGAGTTTGAATAGTATTAAGTAATAGAGATCCCATTTTAATATTATTGAGGTTTTAGAAAGCATCGTAGTCTGAGTAATAGCTCATGTATACATTTTTTTGAGTACTGTTTTACATACATACCCATTTTGTTTTGGTTTTGTTTTTTTTTGTTGTACCTTGATATTCTTGTGTTAGGAAGTCGCATGCATAAGGGCAGCCTTCGTGACTCTCCTGCATTCTCGCCACTTTTGCTTTCCTAGGCTCTTTTCTCCATTAAAAAAAAAAATTATGGCATTGCTAGAAAGCAAAATATATTTATTTATATAATGAAACATTTTTCTTGACGTAAAAGTTCATTTTTTCTTATTTTAATTTAAAATAGCTTCATGTGTCCCTAAAATGACTATGCCTAAATAGCTAGTAGATAAACATTATGGAATTGGTTTATATATTCCCAAATTGGTAAGTAGTACAAGATTATTAAGGTTCTTTTGAGGTGAGCAATGAACTGCTTATGGTGGCATTCTGAATTTATTGTTTCTTTTTAATTTATTCTTTATTGTGGTATTGTATGTATAAAGTAAAACTTACCCTTTTAACAGTTCTGAAATGACTCAGTAGCATTTAGCACATTCACACTGCTGTTCAGGTATCACCACTGTCCATCCAATTTTTTTATCATCTCAAATTGAAATGCTATACCCACAAACAAATAACTCATTTCCCCCCTCCTGCCGGCCCCATCACCATGGTTGATTTGTTTTTAATCTTTTAAATTAAACTTAAGATTAGTGTATAGGGATAGCTTATGGCGATCCAGTTTGTGATCTAGGAACCTGGATGGATATGTTTAGATATGGGTTGCTGATGGTAGCAGAAGAACACTGAACAATGTTGTCAGCTGGGAATGAGATCTTCCAGATGCCTGATGTGCTTTAGAGAAAATTGAGACATGGGATTGGGGCAAGGTGGGGCGTCAGTCCTCCTGACAAATTCAGATAGGGAGTTTGAAGAAGGAAGAAGTTGTGCATTGGAATGTGTCTTACAAGGTAATTGTGTGTTAGGTGACAATCTAGATTTACTATTCCCATTTGCTGTTAGCCTGAAACTTTATTGAATAAAGAGATGTATTTAAGAGAACAGATTCAGGACTGGTAGAAGAATGTTATGAAATGCATTTTCTTTCCATAATTTTGTGTATTCTAATTAAAGTGATTTATAATATGTAGAATTATTTAAAGCATAAATAAAAAGAAATGAATTATTATCCCTTCCCTCTTTTGAAGCCATCTGTCTTAGATTTGTGATAATTTGGAAAATATTTTAAAGTTGTAAGAGGGGAAAAGAGAACCATGACTGTGAAATTTCATTTAGTCAGAAATTTCATTTAGTCATTTCTGTGACCTAGAAACATTATTCCCAGTGATGTTGTGAAAAATTTGTCATTAAAT